CCCTCTCGTATTTGGTTCTTCCTCTTTTCCTGCTGCCTTCCACTTTTCCCAGCATTATTGTCTTTTCCAGAGAATCCTGCCTTCACATGATGTGCCCCAAGGAGAACAGCCTCAGTTCCAGCCTCCAGAGAGAGTTCAGGCTTGGTTTGATCTAGGACCCACTTCTTTGTTGTTCTGGCAATCCAGGATATCCACAAAGCTCTCATCCAGAACCACTTTTCAAATGAATCAATTTTTCCCCCTTTCATCTTTCTTAACTGTCCAGCTTTCACGCCCATACATGGTGATCAGAAATACAAGAGTGTGAATGATCTTGGTCTCCAGTGACACACCGTTACACTTGATGATCTTTTCTAGTTCCTTCATTTTTGATCTTCTTGAGTCCCAGTCTTCTTCTGATTTATTGGCTGCATTTTCCATGAGGTCCATCACCTTATACAGGTACAATTTTTTACCTTCCTATTGCACATACTAGAAGCATTTCCAAATAGAATCCACGTACAGTAATCACAAAAAGAATGACAAAAATTAGCCTTGCTTACAAAAAAGAAAGAAAGCTTACAAAAATATACCAGAATAAATGGTGCTGCTAAGAAGCAACTTGGACCAGAAAAGGTTTCTTGAGGGACTTCTGACAACGGATATGATCGCTCCTAAGATGTAAGGAGAGGATAACAGCTGTTTCCACCTGCCAGGAAAGACGGCTGCGGGGGGGATTCCAAATAAGGCAATGTTGCAAAATTACAAAATGAAATAAAATGATAAAATACAAACAATACGACAACGTTTACAACTAATACAAAGTGGAGTTTAGACTGGAATCTAAGAGATTGTGATGGTACAAATTCAAATTTTACCATCTTTTTACTTTTCCTGACCATTTAGCTTTTGCGTTCGGTTTCGCTACCCTGACAGTCTCTTTTAACCATCATCGCCATTTACCAGGAAGCGTTCTCTTTTCGGTATGAATCTGGGGTAAAAATCAAGAGCCCTACTCTGTTCACCAAATACAGAAAGGTTATTTTGATTTAGCCCCAGTGTTTGAAAAGTTCTGCTTACAAAGTAATTGATTACAAGAACACAGGCAGAGCGTGATCTCCTGTCCTCTGAAGATGCCGGCCACAGATACCGGCAAAACGTTAGGAAGAAAAACCTCCAGAACACATCCAAACAGCCGAAAAAACTACAGCAACCACAATTGATTACTATTTTACAAATAAGACCTGCAACCAATAGTTACCCATTTTTAGACTAACTCCCTCCTCATTACTCAATATTAATTAACGTAATTACTTTTGGTTGTTGTGGGTTTTTCGGGCTCTTTGGCCGTGTTCTGAAGGTTGTTCTTCCTAACGTTTCGCCAGTCTCTGTGGCCGGCATCTTCAGAGGACAGCA